AGAGCAGAAAGGAGGGGAGACAAAAGAGGGGCTACGGGCAGAGAAACATGGCAGGCTCTACTGGACAGCTGGTCACACGGTGGTAAGTCATGCCACCTGGGTGCCCTAGAAAGGACAGAAATAGGCATTTTATCTGGGATCTTCTCTCCCACCCAGCGTGTGTGTGTGTGTGTGAGAGAGAGAGAGAGAGAGAGAGAGAGAGAGAGAGAGAGAGATGTATGTTTGTGTTGTATGCACAGTGGAGGGTACTTTGCAGTATTCCGTGAACTTGTCTGAACACAGAACTGATTTCAATGGGAGAGTGGCTCTGCAGAGCGGAGGTTTCACAGTATAGTTTTAGTGAATGCGGCTGTTGTTGTATCCTAGGCAGTCAGGATGCTGGCTCTCTGCTCAGAAGTCCTGGGAGAAGCCCCCCTTCTCCACCATACCACGGCTGTGCAGGGCTATCAAGATCTGTGATTCCTGGGGTCACTTGGTCACCACAGCAGGTTTAATTACTGATGCTGAAAGCAGGGGACTCACACCGGGGCACAATGTCTCCTCATTAGTGTCTGCAGTAAAATGGTGGGGATGAGGCAAAGCCACCAGCCTGAACTCTCCCTGTCCAACCTTCCAAACTTGGACATCTCGAAGAGTAACTTTACATATATACGCAGCTAAACAGTACCATGTAGTCAAGATGGCTGCTTCAGCTAACCGTTCAGGGCTGATTCCAGTGGCAGTGTTGTCTAGTATGTACTGGGCCTGGGCTTCAAACTATAACACCAGAAAAAGAAAACAAACAAACCAAAGAGCCCACACACTATGGTCTAATGAGGCAATTTCATTATGAGGGGGGAACGTGGGTGTTCAGCTTTATTCATCTATCTTTCTGCAAGAAGGGAAATTTATCAACGAGTAAGCACGGGATAATAAATTAGCGACTAGGAGGTCCCAGAGGGTTTATAATCCTTTAAATATGCGAAAATATTAAGTATGCACTCTATTTTCTTGAACGCTGTTTTAGGGCGGCTTTTTTTTTCAAGCCTCTTACTGACATTAGGCTCTGGTTTTTGCCTGAAACACTTTCATACGCAGCAGCTGGAACGACTTCACAACACGGGGAGATTCCTGATGTTCTTCGCATCCACAAATGCGGTGAACACCAAGCCAAAATCTTCAGGCCTGTGTCCCCAGAGTCGGGACAGTCAGACTGCCTTCACGCTATGTCTCTACACTTGTAGAAAGCAGAAGTTTGAGTCAGCCAACCATCCTGGCCCACAGACAGCCAACAAGTACTTTATTTTCCCTCAGTGTAGCAGGACCTCTCTAGACCTGAGAGGTTACGTCCCTGTGGAATCTCCAACAGACACCTGAGTTTTTTCATACAGAATCAGCTTTCACCTCAAGCTAATTTTGCCATTTCTATCCACGGCAGCCTAACAGAAAAATACAGTTTTACTAAGTGGAAGCATTTTTCCCTTTTCTCCCAAGCGGACTTCAGATTGAGTCCCATTGTCCCTCAATGACTAGGATTCCACCCAAACAATTCAAGCCGTTAGCTTGGCATCTAATGACAAATGTCTCTTTCTTCCAGTTCCCCCAGTGGTGTTATTATTAGCGATGAAGAGGCTGCCTTACTCATGAGCAGGGTTTTGCAAAGGTTACAGCAAAGCAGAGATTGTATTTTCTCGACATTGACCTCCATGATCTGCAAAATATTTCACTTTCATTATTGTAATTTCCTCTAACTGAGTAATACATTTACTTACTAGACAACCTCGAAGTATGCTTCTAACTTGTTCTTTCGTGCCACAATCAAGCAGGGCAGAGAAATATCATTGAATGAGGTACTGAACGCATGTGCGTTTGAGGACGGCAAGGGTCTACCCACCAAAAGCAGCAGGTGTCCGTGACCTACTTATGACAAGGGCTGGGCAGCAAGGATTTCCTAACACACGGATGACAAATGCTACCATTGAAAAGTTCAAGAATCCTTGAAGACAAGTAAGTGTCAGATACGATTCTAGGCTTGGCATCAAACAAACGAATCTTGTCTGCTTGCATCACGCTCTGGTCAGGTAGATAAAAATAAAACCATGTGACAGAGGGCAAGCTATAGCAGCGCTTAGGAAAAGGCAGTGTAATGGGGTAGGGGGTTTAGAGAACTCTCTGATGAGACAGGGCTTAGAACACATGACAGCGCAAACCCTGCAAATGCTTTGTGTCATGACGGGAATGTTCTGCAAACACAGGTTGGAACTAGTTCAACGGGATGTATGGCTGAGCTGGCTACCAAACTGTTTCCTCCTTTGGAGGTATCCAGTGAGTCATGCCTCAGCTCCTCTGGGAGTCTGATTGGTCTTGTGACTGTCGTTGTCAACAGACTGCAAGAGGCACGGTATGGGACGACTCAGGTCTACTTCATCGCCTCTCCTTCCCCTTCTACAGAAAACAGCGTGATACCGCTAACAGACACACAGGAGAAGGGCCTGGGTCCCCCAGGCACTGTATGGAAGACAGTCCTTCTACTGATGAAGTGGGCAGCAGGGTGGGAGCAGAATGGGCTCCCTTGAGACAGCGGTCGGGTCTTTTCAACAGTCACAGCTCCAGAATCCGACTAAATGCGGTTACAATTGGCATTTACTCGGTAATGCTACTGAGCAGTGACGAGCAGACAGACCTGTCAATAGGAAACGGGGGAAGGGCGGGGAACGGCAAGAGCACACGAAATGGACTTTTTTTTTTTTTAAGTCAGCCGTCTTACTGAAGACAAATGGACTAGCATTTAGAACTTGAACGAACATAAGCTATGTTGACAGCCTGCTGAAGTCCACACACGGAGCCTGGTTGAGGTCATGGCTCAGTGGATTATGAAAACGGAGTCCAAGACGTCCCCCTGGTAAAGGTTTCTTATTAAAAGTCACATGACAGTTTTACTGTCACCCAGCGCAAATGACACTAAATCAACATAGATGGACGAGCTGTCAGGGTGTACTGCTGCCACCAGTCAGGGGACACCGAAGGACGCCATCCTTCAGTAGACCTAGTCCCAACTACTGACCGTTTGTTTCCAGTAAATCAGCAACGAGAGTTCACACGACCAAATTACACTAGAACCCACCTGAACAGGGGTTTCCTTGGATTTTCCCTTTGTCATACAAATTCCTGCCTGAGCACAATAGTCAAAGTGTGTGTATGAAAAGCTTGGCTAGATGATAAGGCTCTTTTTAAGAATGGAGTAAGCTACTTAGAAGCAACAAGTACCGGGAGATCTATTCCTAGCAGGAGAGGAAGAAAACAAGACACCTTTGAGGAATGGTAACTCTCACCCCAAGACTCTCACACTGCCTTGGGGCATTTATGCATGACCATTTATTCAACACCACTGGGACTACTCTGGGTACTGGGGGGATTAAAAGGCAGCCCAAGGGCCAGACTCACAATGAGTCAGATCTAAATGACAAACTGCAAAGACACAAACATGGAGCATTAATTCTACAGGGTCAGGACACCATCTCCCCAGGCCTGACCTGAAATTTCAGCAGATGCTGCATGGGCAGGTCCTCAGGCAAAATGGAGAAGAACATTTAAGTTCAGGGGTCTAAAACAGTCCAGCCCCTGAAGGTGGCTGTTTCTATCCATTAAGGATGATGATTCACTTTGTCCACTGCCGAGTCTTTCAGCCTAGACCAGGCCCTGAGCTCAGAAGACAGAGAATGAATGTTCAGAGACTGAGGAGGAATGGATGAAATCAGACCGGAGAGACACAGAGACCGCAGGGCAACAGTGGACACCACATCCTCCACCAGGGAACAATGTGGGTAGATTTGTCCTTTTCTTCATATTAAAATATTTTTATGGTATGTGTGTGTGTGCGTGAGCGCACTTGCAGATGCCAACAAAGGCAAGGAGAGGAGACAGACCCTAGGGAGACAGAGACAGAGCAGTTATGACTCATCTGACATGGTGCTGAGACCTGAACATGGATCCCTTAGAAGAGCAGCAAACCACCGTCCCTGTCTCTAGCTCCTCCTTTCCTTTTTTTTCTCCACCTCCTTCCTCCTTGTCCCCACCCTCCTCTTTCTTTTTGGATTTTCCAAATAGGGTTTGTCTGTGTAGCCTTGGCTGTCCTGAAACTCTCTCTGTAGACCAGGCTGGCTTCGAACTCAGAGATCTCCCCGTCTCTGCCTCCCAAGTGAATGGGATTGAAGGTGTGCACCTCCACTGACCAGCCAGGTCTCTTCTTTTCAAGAACTGCAATGAAGGAGTTCGGTGCCCAGAAAGGGGCAGCACTTAGGGGGTGATGCTTACGCCCCTATGAAAAACAGGACCAAAGTGAAGCAGGACAAATGAAAGGTGGAATGGCCATCAGAGGGTTTAAGAACCATGTGGGGAGGACTCGGTGTGTGCATGTACATGTGTGTCTGCCCAAGCACACATGCATGTGGGCATATTTCGTATTTGTAAATTTGTAACGGGGCTTCTGAGATGACTCCTAATTTTAAGGAAAGTCAGGTTTGAGTACACAACACACTTCAATTGTGTTACAGCTGAGATACTTACCAGGAAATTCTCAAGAGGTAGTTAGAGCCATGATGCCCCAGAGACGGTCTTGGGTATAAAGGAAACTGCCCACAGACACTACTCATGGCTGTCAAAGTTATGCACTGCACAGCTCCCAGGGCTCCAGCTTAATGGGGTCACTGGAATTGTGTTTGGCTATAGCATATTTCTGGCAAACAAACATACTATATCTTGAGGGGTGAATGAGTGAATGAACGTTTATGCCCTGGCGATGCTGAAGCACACACAGGCAGCCCGTATATGGCAGTTCTGTTGAACTTGTCCACATTGGGTTTCAAGGTCCAAGTTGATGGGAGCAACCGACCAAGTCTCTTCCTCAAGAGGGCAACAGATCTCATTACAGATGGTTGTGAGCCACCATGTGATTGCTAGGAATTGAACTCAGGACCTTTGGAAGAGTAGGCAGTACTCTTAGCCGCTGAGCCATCTCCCCAGCTCACTTCAGCAGCACATATACTAAAACTGGAACCATACAGAGAAGATTAGCTTGGCCCCTGCGCAAGCATGACATGCAAATTCGTGAAGCGGTCCATAGTTTTTGTGTGGTGGCACATGGCTTTAGCCCAAGCACTGAGAGGCAGAGAAAGGTGAATCTCTGTGTTCCAGGCCAGCCAGAGCTACATAGCAAGAGCTGTCTGAATCAGTCAGTCAGTTAATTAAAAGCATTAATCTTGAGGGGTACCTCTTGCTACTTCACCATAATCATTTCCAGGTGACAAGCTTGCCAAAAGAGATGCCAGAAGAGCGGCGAGGAGACTTGGGAAGGACAAGGGGAGAAGGCAGGTAACAAAGTAGAGGGATACACAGCAAGTCTGCTTTTGTGTAGGTCTCATTTAAAACTGATGTATTAAAAAAAATATGACCATTTAAGGTTCCCACAACTTTAATAAGCTCTTAAATAGTCTTAACAGCATCTGTGAGGTCAGCAATAGGTAGCGTTCAGTGGCAACGCAGTTTCTGCCTCTCTACAGGAGCCTAGTGTTCCTCTAGCTGGGGGAATGCACAGTTTCACTTCTCATCTGTGGGTATCCAAACCCCTTTTATGACACGACACTGTCATCTACAAATGTGCTGGGCTGTATTCATCCCTCTGTAGGAATGCATGCAACCTGTGGGCGACAGGGTAGACACTCCTACCAGATGATGATGGTGATCATGATGCAGACACCTCTAAACACTCACATGTATAGTTACACACACACACACACACACACACACACACACACCCCGAGGCCTTCTAAAAACATGGAAAACCGCCATGAAGGACACTTTCTAGTGGCTCTTCTAAAAGTGTACTAGGCAGTAACTGAACATTTACAATGACAGCACACTGGTCTATTGCTAGGTCAGGGCACACCACATCAAACTAGATGTTTAAAAATCTAAGTGTAGCTGCTTTTCTCTCCAGGGACATATGACATTTTGGAGACTTTGTTAACCTATGTGGTACAGACAGACAGACAGACAGACAGACACAGACATCGAGACCACAGTGAGTTTCGTTAAGATTGGTTACTGGAGCACAGGTACCTTACCATTGGCTAGACCACTGAAGGAAGTCTCCCTCCCTCATCAACCATGAACTACCTCGAAATCCTCAGGGACGGGTGGGGCCTCATGAGAACTCCTCCACCTCACCCCCATTCCGTGGCAGAGTCCAGCACAGCTTCAGCAGGTAGTCAGAGCCATACTGAGCTCAAGAGGACACTGTAAGTGATTTTCGATGAAGCAAATTCTGTCATTTCCATCCAATTCTTGCCCCAAAGACAGTCTTTAGGAAGAAACCTATTATTTCCACAAGACCATATACATAATAGCAATGTCCATCAACGCCCACAAAATATAAACAGAGCCACTTTGATCACTGTTCTTCAGCATGTTAATATGTGCATATTAATATTCTGCCAGCTAAGACTAATGAAGAGCTCCAACAGAATGAAGTGAGATCAGAAGCTAACAGAGGTGAGTCGACCTCGCTGGGTCCTGATGGCTTAGAATGTATTCTTGCCTGCCATTCATGCCCACTCTCAAAATCTTAATGAGGGCAAATGACTTTCACACATTTATTAATGAGGCATCTAGTTCAACTTTGTCATTTGCTCAGATCCTGACATTGCATTAACGGTGTTTTAAAATCGTACGGCTCTTTAATTTATTATTATCACCCCGCTAAATACAACAACAACGTTTTTTCAAAAGCCTCAGGCCAGCATGCTCTCGCCTTCCCTGGAAAAAGAGATGGGCTATGTCTGCCCCAGCCCATCGCCCACAATCCTGCAGCCTTTCTGTCCTCACGCTGAATGGGGAGAGACTGGGCTATATCTGCCCTAAGTGTCAGCAGCCCTGGAAGCGTGACAATGGCTGAATGAATTTTCATGGGACATAAATCACTCGCTCACTACATGCCACCTTCCAGAGCTGCTTCTCATGAACCCCAGAGCCTGCACAATATGGCTCGTCACATCCTCTGTGACAGTTGTGAGCAAGGGGACCGTTTGCGTGAGGAGATAAATGGTGTTTTCCTCTTTGAGACACACTTTTCCTGCTCCCCGCATGACAAAATTTATTTTATTAAAAATCACAGTCACATCCAATTCCCACACGTAGGTTAAAATTTCAAATATGCTCTCATGCTTCATGGACCTGTGGAGTGTTTCAGCAAGACTCTTAAGATCAGACTTAGCTGATCACTGCTTAAAGAGACTCCAAGTGTTTCAGCTTGCCTGCTGTCGGGATTTACACACAAACTTCTGAGCAACTTTTGAGCTTCTCTCGGGGAAGAATGCCTATGAAGATTTGAGGTCAGACATGGTAACAAAGGCCTATAATCCCAGTGCCAGGGGGCTGAGGCAGGAGGCTCATGAGTTCAAGGCTAGCCTGGACTGTATAGTGAGACCCTGTGAACACACATTTGCTGACTGGGAAATTCTATATAGATCTCTTACATTGATTCAATACCCTTGAAAGTAATTCACTGAGAGAATCATGATCAAGACACTTGATGCCGAGACACCATCCACTCTAATTCTGCTGCTCCCTCCATAGCCGGCTGTACTTTCAAGTGGGAACTCACTGTGCTTCTTCTCCAAAGCTAATATATTGTATCTTCTAGCATACGCAGCCGAGTTCCCCAGCAACTATGTGAAAAATGGCGCATGCAGCAATCCCAGCCAAGAAAGCCTGAGACAGGTTAGACTAGGCCTCATGCTCATCTCTCAGCGGCCCAGGACAAACGCTCACCCGTGTGTCCCATGAAGACAGGAGTAACAATGCCACCCAGCTGCCCTGTCCCGGGCTACTCAGCTGTCTGTGAGCTCCATGTCCTGGGCTCTCAGGGAACTCCTGAAAGTTAGTGAGCCTCAGGGGCCAAAAGGAAACACAGAACATGGGGCGGGTGCGAGGGTGCGGGTGGGGGAGCACTCTGGTTTTAGTGAGACGAGAAAGACATGGAGAGAGTAAAGGGCTGGCTTTGCTCTGGGGAAATGGCGAGAAAGCCTCTACTGGGAGCTGGCTCATGAGTAAGAGGACTCACTGCCGAGTGTGGCAAACTGAGTTCAATCCCCGGTACCCACAACATGGTAAAAAGGAGAAAACCAACTCCTGGACGCCGACCTCTGACCTCCACAGCCTTGCTGCTGTCCTGCAGATAAACGTAAGAGAAGCATCAGCCTCACTCCGGCTCCTGGAATCCATGCTTGGAATTCTAAACTCTTTCTAGGGTCAGGAGGAACTCGGGGAACCACTGGAGCAGAGCTGGGGTGCTACCCGGGCTCCATACAGAGCGGGTCCTGCATTTTCCCAACGCGGCTGGCCATGGTGGTGAAGTCGGAGTGGGTGTCGGCCAAAACGAGCCTCACGGGAGAACAGCGTGCTTAAAGAACAGACCTTGGCGGAGGAAGGAGGCAGCGGTACGGACGCATGCCACAACCCCGAGGACAGACCACGGCAGAGGCCAGAGCACGTGGTTTCGATGTCAGGCTGGCACCCAGCTGCGGCAGCCCTGTGAAAGAAAGATGCCATAGAGGAGGAGAAGGCCAGAGCCAGTGGAGAGGGTGACAAATTGGAGCTCTGTACCACAAGCAGCAGGCTTGTTTCCTCCTGTGAGCCGAGGATGTTAGAGGCTTTTACAGGGGGAGCCCAGCTGCTGGGAGGCAGGCGGGCAGCATGTGGGCACTGCACCTTACTATCAAAGGCCGGAATTCTGCTGCCACCAGTCCAGCAGGGATACGGTGACTCACACCGAGACGCTGAACTCAGGGACCGGTGGGAGGTATGGCCTTGGACACGGGCAGAGCAGGCTGGATGGGAGAGTCAAGCCTGAGGAATGCATTCCCTGCAGACCAATAATGTTGGCTTGGCTTCCAGCAGAGGCAGCAAACGCTGCAGAGAACTGCTGTGCAAACAGCTGTCTGCAGCGTGCACCAAGTGCAGGGGACCTGTGGGCTGGGGCAGAAGCAAAGTTGCCCCAGGGGCTCCCCAACAGACCCTTGTAAAGGAGTGACTGGCAAATGATGTGTGTATAGCATAAATCTGTCCCCGGTGAGTCTCTCCGCTCAAAAATTCAACGGCAAGGATCAGATGAGCCTCTGTTCACTCCTTAGGTTCATAAAGAGGCAGGAGAATGAGCGACAGTCCCACTGCCTGGATGTCCACCAACCAATGAATGGAAAAGGAAAATATGGTACATATAAAAAATGGAATTTTACACAGTCGCAAAGAAAAGAAAATTATAAATATGAAATAAAATGGATGGACGGAACTGGAAATTATAATACTAAATGCTGTAACCCAGGCTCAGAAAGACAAAACCATGTTCTTGTGCAGATCCTAGCTTCTCGTGCATGTGTGGGTGTCCATGCGTGAGTGCGTGCATGCATGTGTGCATGTGTAGATAGAAGCCAGGAAACTAGAAAGGGGCCCAGGAGCGTGGAAAAGCGGCTTTAAAGGAAGGGGTGGAGGAGAGTAATAGAATGCGTGCTATTTAGGGGGTCAGGGAGATGGAGAAAAGGGGGGCAACCAAATCTAATTATATACGGAATTTCCATAAGTAATCCTGTTACTTTGTATGCTCAGTTTAAAAAATGGTGAAGGGTACTCCTGGTCTTCAAGGGGCTTAGTGCCACTCAGGCCACTGAGGGCCTCTGACAGTGGACAGTCAGCCACCAATTAAACAGCACAAACCAGCATTGTTTATAGCAAACACACATGGAGAGCAGAAGAAAACATTCTGAAGAAATTGGGCATGCCCATTGCCACCAAGTCGCAATATTAAAGACGAGTCATGCACTGCACAATAATGTTTCTGTCCGCTGGACAAATGTACAAGAGTGGTCCCCGAGTTCACTGTCTGTTATAAAAACGCAGCCATCTTGGTTTAGGTAAGTGCACCATGTTCAAACAATAGTGAAATCACCTAACCATACATTTCTCAGAGCGTACCCGCACTGGTATTGTTACCATCCAACTTGTTACCGTTAGACCTAGTAAGGAGTTTGAATGGTAGTCCATGTGTTAAGAAAAGTGGGGGAAGGGAGATCTG